GGTGCGCGGTCTGGCCGTGCTGCAGCCACCGCCGGAGCCCGCCGCGCCGGGCGGCTACGACTTCGCGCGGCGGGCCTGGTTCGAGCGGCTCGGCGGTGTCGGCTACAGCCTGGGCGCGCCGCGCGTGATCGCGCCGCCGGCCGGCTGGCCGGTGGAGGCGCGGCGGTTCGAGGGCTGGCGTCTGTTCTGGGAGGGGCTGCGCCAGGCCATCGCCGGGCGCATCCTGGCCGTGCTGCCGGACGAGCGGGGTGCGCTCGCCGTGGCGCTGACGGTGGGCAAGCGCGACGTCATCCCGCCCGACCTGCTGCAGGCCATGCGCGATTCCGGCCTGGCCCACCTGCTGGCGATCTCCGGCCTGCACATCGGCCTGGTGGCCGGCGCGGTCTTCGTCGGGCTGCGCGGCGGCCTGGCGCTCTGGCCGGCGGTCGCGCTGCGCCACCCGATCAAGAAGTGGGCGGCGGCGGCCGGCCTGGTCACCGCCTTCGTCTACCTCTTCCTGGCCGGGGCGACGATCCCGACCCAGCGGGCCTTCCTGATGGTCGGGCTGGTCTTTCTGGCGGTGCTGCTCGACCGCTCGGCCGTCTCGCTGCGGCTGGTCGCCTGGGCGGCGGCGGCGGTGCTGCTGCTGGCGCCGGAGAGCCTGCTGTCCGCCTCCTTCCAGATGTCCTTCGCGGCGGTGGTGGCGCTGGTCTCGGGCTACGAGGCCTATGCCACCTGGCGGAGCGCGCGGGACGCGCGGGCGCGGCACGACGGCGGGCGGGCGCTGTGGAGCCGGCCGCTGACCTACGCCGGCGGGCTGCTGCTGTCCTCCGCCATCGCCGTGGCGGCGACCGGCAGCTACGCCTGGTACCACTTCAACCGCCTGGCCTGGGTCGGGCTGGCGGCCAACCTCGCCGCCGTGCCGCTGACCGCCTTCGCGGTCATGCCGCTGGCCCTGCTGGCGCTGCTGGCCATGCCCTTCGGGCTGGAGGCGGCGCCGCTCTGGCTGATGGGGCAGGGGCTCGGCCTGCTGATCGCCGTGGCCAAGGAGACGGCGCGCTGGCCGGGCGCGGTGCAACTCCTGCCGGCGCTGCCGACCTGGGGCCTGGTGGCGGTCACCCTCGGCGGGCTCTGGCTCTGTCTCTGGCGGCGGGCCTGGCGCCTCGCCGGGCTGCTGGCGATCCTCGTCGGTCTGTCCGGCGCGCTCTGGCGCCAGCCGCCCGACCTGCTGGTCAGCGCCGACGGCGGCCTGATCGCCGCGCGCGGCCCGGACGCGCGGTTGGCGCTGTCGCAGACCCGGCGCGAGGCCTTCGTGCGCGAGCAGTGGCTGCGGCGCTCGGCCCAGGCCGAGGCGCTGCCCTGGCCGCCGCCGGGCGACTGGCTGCGCTGCGATCCGGCCGGCTGCATCTACCGGCGCTACGGCTGGACCGTCGCCCTGGCGCGCACGCCGGCGGCGCTGGCCGAGGACTGCGCGCGCGCCGATCTGGTGATCGCGCCCTTTCCGGTGCCCGGGCGCTGCGGGCGCAGCCGCGACGGCCCGCAGCGGGTCATCGACCGCTACCGCCTGTGGCGCGAGGGCGGCCACGCCTTGCGGCTGCGGGCGGACCGACTGGAGATCGAGACGGTGCGCGGCACCCGCGGCGCGCGCCCCTGGGTGCGGGCCCGCGGGCGGGAGTGAGCGCCGACGGCGGACCCTCGGCACGGCCGCTGGGCCACGCCGCTGCCCTGCCACGCCGCCGCCGTCCGACGCCGGGCCGCCGACGGCCTCAGTAGCGGCGCAGAAGGCCGATCAGGCGGCCCTGGACCTTGACGCGGTCGGGCGGGAAGAGCCGCGGCTCGTAGTTGCGGTTGGCCGGCTCCAGCGCGATGGCGCCGCCGCGCCGGCGGAAGCGCTTGAGCGTGACCTCGGCGTCGTCGACCAGGGCGACGACGATGGCGCCGTTCTCCGCCTGGTCGCTGCGCTCGATCACCACGGTGTCGCCGTCGAGGATGCCGGCCTCGACCATGGAATCGCCCTCGACCTGCAGGGCGTAGTGCTCGCCGCGGCTGAGCAGGTCGGCCGGCACGTCCACATAGTTCGAGTGGTCGCGCAGCGCCTCGATCGGGGTCCCGGCGGCGATGCGGCCGTAGAGCGGCAGGCTGACCGCCTCGCTGTCGGTGGCGACCCGCGCGCCCGCCAGGCCAGCCCGGCGGCCGCCCTCGATCACGTTCGGCGCGAAGCCCGACTTGCCGGCCATGTCCTCGGGCAGGCGCAGCACCTCGATGGCGCGCGCGCGATGCGGCAGGCGCCGGATGAAGCCGCGCTCCTCCAGCCCGGTGATCAGCCGATGGATGCCAGATTTCGACTTCAGGCCCAGCGCCTCCTTCATCTCGTCGAAGGAAGGGGAGACCCCGTGCTCGCCCAGGTGCGCATGCAGGAACAGCAGCAGCTCGTGTTGCTTCCGCGTCAACATATCGTCCGGCCCTTTGTTGGACGCCCGCAAGGGACCCGCTGCCTCCCAGCGCGTAGCTTGCCGAACGTCGATGCTCCCCTCCGCAGTGCGCGCAGGTCCCGACTGCGCCCGACTGCCGCGAAAAACGAATCGCTATTTGTTCTAATACCGTTCCCTTCGTACGTCAAGCGTTCATGGAATAGAACCTAAATAGACGCCAGGCCGGCCGGAAATCGAAGCAGCGCGACGACCTGTCCGGCGGCAAGTGCCGGCGCGTGCGGCGGCCGCACGATCAGGGCGTCGGCCTGCGTCAGCGTGGCCAGCATCGAGCTGTCCTGCCGGCCGAAGGGGGTGGCGACGCGGCGGCCGTCGGCGTCGGTCTCCAGGCTTGCCCGCAGGTAGTCCTGGCGCCGGTCGTTGGCGCCGAGATCGGCACCGAGCAGCGCCGGCTCCAGCGGGTGCGCCGGGCGCTGCAGCCCGAGCAGGCGGTCGAGCATCGGCCGCAGGAACAGCAGGCCGCAGACCAGGCTGGAGACGGGATTGCCCGGCAGGCCCAGCATCGGCGTGTCCTTCAGGCGGCCGAACATCAGCGGCTTGCCCGGCCGCATGGCGATCTTCCAGAAGTCGAGCTCCAGCCCCGCCTCGCCGAGCACCGAGCGAATCAGGTCGTGCTCGCCGACCGAGGCGCCGCCGGTGGTGACCAGCAGGTCGGCGCCGGCCGCGCCGGCCGCCAGACGCTGCAGCGACTCGGCCGAATCGGCGGCGATCCCCAGGTTGATCGCGCTGCCGCCGCACGCCTCGACCAGGGCGCAGAGCGCCAGGCCGTTGGAGGAGACGATCTGGCTGGGCCCGAGCGGGTCGCCCGGCATCACCACCTCGTCGCCGGTCGCCAGCACGGCCACGCGCGGGCGCCGGCGCACCGAGACCCAGGGGCGGTTCATGGCCGCGATCAGGCCGAGATCGCGTACGCTGACCGGGCGGCCGGCCGGCACGCCCAGGCTGCCGGCGCGGAAGTCGAGGCCGGCCGGGCGGACGTAGGTGCCGCGCGCGGCGCCGGCGCGGACCACGACGGCATCGCCCTCCGCGGTGCAGTCCTCCTGAATGACGATGGTGTCGGCGCCGTCGGGCAGGGGCGCGCCGGTGAAGATGCGCACCGCCTGGCCCGGCGCCAGGCGGTCGGCGTAGCGGCCGCCGGCGGGCACCCGGCCGACGACCTGCAGCCGCGCCGGAATCTCCGCCAGGTCCTCGGCGCGCACGGCATAGCCGTCCATGGCGCTGACGTCGGCCGGCGGCTGGGTGACGCGCGCGGTGACGTCCTCCGCCAGCACGCGGCCGAGCGCCTGGTTGACCGCCACGGTCTCCGCCGGCAGGGGCGAGAAGGCGGCCAGGACCCGCGTCTGCGCCTCTTCGACGGAAATCATGCCGCTGCTCCGCTGCGGTGGTTCGCGATCGCCTGGCCTCGCGTCGCGCGGCCGCGCGGTCGCGAAGAAACACTCTGCTTCGTCGTCCTAGAGCCGGTTGCGCCCGTGATCGACGGACCCGCGGGGGCGGGCCAGGGGATCACACCGACCCCTAGGTCGCTTCGTAGGTGCCCGACTTGCCGCCGGTCTTGTGCACCAGCCGGACGTTGTCGATGCGCATGCCGCGGTCGACCGCCTTGCACATGTCGTAGACCGTCAGCGCCGCCACGCTCACCGCGGTCAGCGCCTCCATCTCGACGCCGGTGCGCCCGGTCAACTTGCAGGTCGCCTCGATCTCCACGGCGTCGCGCTCGGGCCGCAGCCGCAGGTCGAGCGTGACCGAGGTGAGCGCCAGGGGGTGGCACAGCGGAATCAGCTCCGGCGTGCGCTTGGCCCCCATGATCCCGGCCAGGCGCGCGACCGAGAGCACGTCGCCCTTCTGCACGCCGCCCGACTCGATAAGGCGCAGCGTCTCCGGCTGCATCACCACCTCGCCGCGGGCGGTGGCGCGGCGCTCGGTCTCGGCCTTGGCGCCGACGTCGACCATCACCGCCTTGCCCTCGGCGTCGAAGTGGGTGAACTCGCTCATGCCTCGGCCTCCGGCGCGGCCAGCAGCGCCCGGGTGGCGGCGGTCACCTCGGCCTGGCGCATCAGCGATTCGCCGACCAGGAAGGCCTTGGCGCCGCGCGCCGCCAGCCAGCGCAGGTCGCCAGCGCCGTGGATGCCGCTCTCGGCGACCAGCAGCCGGTCCTCCGGCGCCTCCGGCGCCAGCCGCTCGAAGGTCTCCAGCGAGACCTCCAGGGTCTTGAGGTTGCGGTTGTTGATCCCCAGCAGCGGCGTCGTCAGCTTGAGCGCGCGGCCCAGTTCGGCCGCGTCGTGCACCTCGACCAGCACGTCCATGCCGAGATCGCCGGCCGCCGCCTCCAGTTCGGCCGCCTGACCGTCG